GTCCGACTCTGGCCTTCCTGGTCACCATCCAGGATCCAACACTTCTCATCCTGTCATGGGAGGGATGGAAAAAGTGGAGGGAGATCCCTGATGCTGTATCTGCACCGGTGTGACCCACTGTTGGCCTAACCTTCACCGTCTTCAGGCTCAGTGGTTCACATGGGTGAGAGTGATGGATGGAACCACACTGTTCTTCTGTGTGTAATGTGTCTGTCCACATTTCAGGCTGTCAGGATTATAAATAAACAAATAGTTGTTTGCATTTACAGTCAGTCCTTTGACAGTCTGCATGTTGTAAATGTTTATTTTTTATTATTGGTATTTACTTAGCTAGGGAAATCCCATTAAGATGACAGATCTCTTTTTCAATAGAAGCCTGGGCCTGGATGCAGCCTAAATGTGCATGTTTTTGGACTGTGGGAGGAAACCAGAGTACCTGAGGAATTCCCAACCCATGGGTTAAACCTAGGACCTCCTTGCTGTGAGGCAACAGTTGTTCGTTTTAAAATGAAACTGCTCTCTTGAAGCATATTTTTTTTTACCACAAATGATTTCAGAATTTAGCAGCAACATAAATAAACTAATGAAAAGTAAAAGCTCTTTCTAAACATTAGGAGTTTCTAATGAACATTTTCTAATGTATTAAATAAACTGTTGCAGAGAACAGCATGGTTTACTTGTTATGCTGCCATAGTAAACATGCATGTGCACAACGGCCCCTCACAGCTCCTCTAAACATGCAGCCGCCACTCTCTGGCAGCTGAGGCTCGAGACTTGAATCACAGTTTTTGTTCACHGTCATAAATTAGCTCTTACTTCAATACAGCKCCTTTTACACCATCAGGTCTGCTGGAGCGACACTYGTGTGTCATGACAGGCCTGACCTGCCTCCCTTTCTGTTTCCTGTCCTCAGATGATCTCTTGTCTCCTGTCAAACACTTGGGTTTCTCAGTGGGGCTTTAACCCTTTTTTTTTACAGCGCTAATAAATCCTGATATTCTTCATCTATGAAGTGTAAATAAGCTGGAAAGACTGAATGACCAAACATTGTACCATCTCAGTATTATATCAAGACTGTGAGTGTAAACGTRTAATGATTAACTATAAATGATGACAGCTGTGGGTTACTGTGCACTCATGGAAACTTTGTCGCATCAGGCTTTTTTTACATAAAGTTTAATAATTGTAGAAACGTAAAAAGTCATTTGTGCCCCACGAAATAATTGAATTTGAATAAACTGTCACATTCACTAAGATGTGCACAGCCAAAAAAAGACAATCAGAGGAGGTTTTAAGATGAAGTAYATTTACAGTATGTGTTCACTGTAAAGGCCCTGTCACACAACAGTTTAAACAACCTATCCCGACTTATGAAAATGTTAAATATACAGTAAATATATATGAGTGTGTATGTGTGTATGGGCATGTATTCGCTACATCGTGGGAACCATTTTCCAGAAAAAAGGCAGCCTCATAGGGACCAAATGTGCATCGTGGGGACTTATCTGCACCGGTATGGATGCTAATTTTGGGTGGGGGTTTGGTTTAGGACCAAGGTATGAATTGAGTTTAGATTAGTTTTAGGGACCATTTACACTAAAATTAACCTCACAGGTTGATTTTGTGAGGTTAAGTTTTGGGGAAATGGTCAGGGTTAGGCTATAAAATTGCCAGAAAAAGAATGGAAGTCAACCCACAACCCATCAACCCACAGTCTTCATGAGGATGTAAAAACAAACCTGGGTATGTGGGTATGTGTGTATATCTGCTTTTGCTACCTGGTAAACCTGGTGAGGACCCACAGTTTYATATGGGGACAAAAGCCTGGTCTGCATTGGGGAAAATACTATTAGCATGTCAGTGGTTAGTTTTAGGACTAACGTAAACTAATGGAATACAGTTGAAAAATAGACTTTTGGCTAATTCAGGCTATTTTAACCTATAATTGGTTATGAGTTTGATTAAAATGCATTGTCCCCTTTTAAATAAATAAATCAAATCAAATAAAGGCTAATAAAATAAAAAAAATGTTATATTTTTTGATCTAATCATTAGCAATACAGTATAAATCCAAAAGAGGCTTCCAGTAGATTTTTTTCCTCATCTTCAACTTAGGCTGCTTTAGTATTGGGACTAAATTTTCACAAGATGCCAAAAAACATTATAGTGTGACAGCTAGGGCCTTAGAAGGAGGGCCTGAGTTCAGGAGATGACTGTCCCTTTAACAGATCATAGCTCATCTCATAGATCATAGCTCATCATAGCCCATAGCTCATCTCAAAATTGAAGAAATGTCTCAATCTCACTAAAGACCATGCCTCGAACCGATGAAACTAGGAAKGTATAACTTGCGGAA